GGGGGACCTGGCATGAGGCAGCCTATGCCAGGTAATCCATCACTGTGGTACTCCATCCCCCCACCCCAGCCTGGGGGGTCTGCCGCAGGGAGGGGAGGGAGGGAACACATTCCCCCACAGTGGAGGAGCTGCTGTGTGGGGCTAGGCAGAGGAGGGAGGGGGAGCACCCCGGCAAGGCTCCTGACTGCAGCTTCTCAAACGGGGATTGTTGAGACAGTACAGTGGGGAGGGTGCTCGCCTTGCATGTGACAAACCCAGATTTGATTCCCAGGACCACTTATGCCCACCCCCCCCCAAAGCACCGTCAGGAGGGAGCCCTGAACACAGAGCTAAGAATAAGCCTTGACACTGCCAGGTGTTACCCTGCCCCCCAGAAAGAAAAAAAAAAAGAACTTGAAGATTTTCCCAGAGTCTTTGTTTAATAAGGAATGTAGGGAAACACTTGATTCTTTCTGCTAAATTCAGAGCAGCTCCCTGGAGGAGCTGGGTCAGGCTGGGTTGACAGAGTTGACTTTTTTTAGAAGAAAGCTTGGCTCCGGAGACCAGAGTGATAGATAGTACAACGGGTAGAGCACTTGTCTTGCACATCGTTGATGTGGGTTTGATCCCTGACATCCCATATAGTCCCCCAAATACCACTAGGAGTAATTCCTGAGTGCAGAGCCAGGAGTAACCCTTGAGCATCAGCAGGTGTGACCCCAAAACAAAATAAAGCTTGGCTCTGATGAGGGCCACCCACTGCCCTGACTGGCCAAGAGTTCTTATGTCCTGGAAGTCTGGGATTGGAGAGTGGTACCCCCTGCAGCGCCCGGTCCAATCGGAAGGCAAGTGAGGGTCAGGGATGATGCTGAGTAGTACAGCACGTGCCTGGTTCCAGCCCCACATCTCATGGCCAGGTATAGCCTGATGGTCCTGAACATAGCTGGCAGCAAGGTTCCCATAACACAAATGTGTGTCCAGAAGGCAGGCTGGGTCAGGGCCAGAGAAGTAGGCCAGCGGATAGGGCATTTGCCTTGCATGTGACCAACCGGGTTCAATCCCCAGCATCCCATATGGTCCTTGAGCCCCGCCAGGAGTAACCCCTGATCACAGACCCCGGAGTAAGCCCTGAGCATCACCAGGAGTGGCCCCAAAATAAAATTAAATTGAGAAGAAGCCAGGCTGGGTCTGTGTGCAGCCTGCTGGTCGTTTGTGCCCTGGCTCCTGGCCCAGTCGCACTGGTGTGGCAGATGTGTTTCTCATACAGTCACCTGAGGAGGTCCCTCTCTGTTGGCTTTTGGTTTGGGGGCCACACTCAGCAGTCCTGGACCTTGAGGTACTGAGAATCAAACCTGGGACTCCTGCATGTGCTCGGCCCCAGAGCCTGAACCGTCTCCCTCATCCCCATATAGATCACTCTTACCAGGAGTCAAGAGATGCCGTCCAGGGCGCCCAGCAGAGGAGGGGAGGGTGGGAGGTTCGGGTCCTCTCAGAGGCATCTGCAGTGCTGGGTGGCTGAGCTCCATCCCCAAGGGCAGGCACCAGACCTTCAGGTAGCAGCGGGACCTGGAGTTTAGGGCATGGGTTCAAATCCTGCTCCCCTACACAGAAAGTGCAACCTCCACAAGCCACAACTGCAGAATGAAACTGAGGAACCCGCCCCTGGCTGAGGGGAAGGGCACGGCTCACTCTGTGATCCACTCACCAGCACCTCTGCATGAGTATGTGCCTTGCAGGGTGAGGAGCAAAGCACACATGCCGCGGCCCCACTGCATGGAGCTTGAAATCTGGTCGGGAACGTGTGCGTGTGTCTGGACTCTCGCTCACCCCAGAGTGCGGCTCAAAGACAATCCGCTTTCCCTGCAGTGCTAGATGCACAGCTGCCTGGCCTCTGCGTGGGGGGCATGGAGGAGCTGCAGACTCAACTGAGATTTGGAGGACTTGCCTGGGCTTTGCTGAGCCTGGGGTCAGTGGGAGTAGGTGTCACCCAAGTGCTGTCTCTTTAGGGTACTGAACCCCAGCACTGGACTCCAGTCCCAAGAGCGAGAACTCTGCCTCACAGACAACAGCCCGAGCAGGCCAGAGAGAGGCTCCGGCTGGAGCAGGGCCAGGTCTGTCTCTGGAGGCCTGAGACAAGCTACTGTCCTGTCCACTGCTGAGCTCCCCTGGGTTCCCCAACACGCGTATCCGGGTCCTTCCATACTGACCCTCTTCTTTTATTTTGGTTTTTGGCTACACCCCACAGTGCTTTGGGGCTACTCCTGTCTCTGTGCTTGGCGCAGGATGGGGTGGTGGTGAGCAGCTGGGCGGGGGTGACCCCATTGCTTCGGGAGACCACGTGAGGCTGGAGTTGGAGCCGACCTGTCCTGTGCAACGTCATGCCTGCGCACTGAACATCTCCCCAGAGAGAGCGTCCTTTGGGGTCTCCATCATTGCTTACAGTGCCCTCCGCCTTGGGGCCCACAGTGGAGCAGTTTCCAAGAGCTTTTAGGGACCTCCTCTGTCCCCTAAAGTTTCTTCTGCCTGAGAGCTTCTGTGTGCCGGGCTCAGCTCCCTAGTCCTAAGGACGGCCCCGTTTGTCTGTCACAGAAGAGCCACTCCCAGGCGTCAGAGACTGTCAGGCGGTGGCTGGGCATGGGTGTCAGTGGGGGGGATTCTGACACCTCAGGCCAGTCAGGGGAGGCAGGTTCAAGGGTGTGGTGGGTGTGGCTGACTGCTGGCCTGAGGGTTCCATTGTCAGGCCACCAGAAACTGCTCCTGCTTCCTGACCACCATGTGGTCACCAAGGAATTCCCGTCCCTAATCACCAAGGCCCTGGTGGGGGCTGCTAGGCAAGTGTGTGTATGTGTGTACATGTGCACCCTGTGTCACATGCAGGTTTGGGGGTGCACACGTGTGCCCTGAGCATCACGTGTCCGTGCCCCTAGGGAGATAGTCCATGGGGTAAGGTCAGAGAGCTAGGATAGGGGTAAGGCACTCATTTTGCATGTGACTGTTTCAGCCTCTACTCTGGTTCAATCCTGACACCTCATTTGACCCCCCCCACCCGGGTACTGCCAGGGGTCACTCCTGCGAAGAGAGCCAGGAATAACTCCTGCCCACCACCAAGTATATCTCAAACCACTTCACCACGTACTCTCGCCCCATCCCCATGTGCATTTTCATCAGAACCAGCAACAGGAGGAAGGGGGTCATGTGGTCTCAGGCACTAGAACTCAGGAAAGGGCCTGTGCCTTCAGCTGTGTCCCTCCCCACCCAAAAGCAAGATAAGGTAGAGGCCCTGGACCAGCTGAAGGCACCTGCCTGACAGAGGGTGAAAGACAATCACCGGCTGGAAGCATCAGCCTTGGGAACAGGACGAGAGACTAGAACCCAGCCCCCTACTATAGCAGCTGGGGCCACTGGGAAGGCTCGTCAGAGTGAGGGGCAGAAAGGTAGGCAGTGAGGACTTATCTGAGGACAGGACAAATGCCTGCTGCTGCTTCCAGCCATCCGTGTTGAGCTAAGTTGTTGGGTTCTTTCGTGTGTGGGGGGCGGGAGGGCTGGATTGGGAAGGAGTGCGTGATGAAGTGGTTAGAGGTACACTTGGTGGTGATCAGGAGTTATTCCTGGCTCTCTTCTCAGGAGTGACCCCTGGCAGTACCCAGGGGGTCATATGTGGTGTCAGGATTAAACCAGGGTAGAAGCCGAAACAGCAACATGCAAAGCAAGTACCATACCCCTGTCCTAGATCTCTGACCTTACCCCATGGACTGTCTCTCTGGACCTGTGCTTATTTCTTTTTCTTTGGTGGGAGGGGTGGTGGGGGGTTGAAGCCACACCCAGTGATGCTCAGAGGTTATTCCTGGCTCTTCACTCAAAAATTACTCCTGGAAGTGCTCTATGAACCATATAGGATGTCAGAGATCAAACCCGGTCGACCATGTGCAAGGCAAGCATTCTTTAAGTGCCCCAGATCTCAGTTTTGTCATCTGCAAATAGGATATTAATGCTTATCTTGTAGACTTGGTCCAAATTGCAAGCCAGCACATTGGGGAGCTGGGAGGGGGCGTAGTTCGCTAACACTCACAGCTGGATAAGAAGCTCTGAACCCCATGGCCCCTACTTTCCTAAACTGCCTGATTCTCGGCCAGTGTCTTTCATGCCCTCACCAGCACCTGTCCACATATAGCAGTGCATGGACAGGCAACCCAGGCAACCGCAGCAAACCAATGGTTTTTCACCTGCAATCTCACCGCACCCAGGGGGGACTATTGCAGACCCCAAGGGGACTAGCCCACTCTCCCAGCCCACTGTATGCAGGCCAGGCCCCACTGCCTTCATCGAGAGACCTCAAGGAGTCCAGGAAACTCTCACCCTGTTCTCTATTTTCCCGATGAGCCTAGTGGGGAAGCAGCCAGGGATCTAAGAACAGTGGGAGAATCTATCTCTCTGGGCTCAGAAGTCCTCTGAAAACTATAATAACTCCACCATTTCCTCTCCTGCATATGCATGCATGCACATATGCGCGTACATACACACATGCACAACACACACACATGCATGCATGCATGCATGCACACATGCACACACACACACACACACACACACACACACACACACACACTTTCCCCAAGTCATCCTGGGAACTTCTCTTATTTGTTTTTGGTTTTGTTTGGGAGCCACATTCATCAGTGCTCGGGGCTTCCTCTTGGCTCTGTGCTCAGGAATCACTCCTGGAAGAGCTTGGGGAACCATATGGGATGCCGGGGATCGAACCTAGGTCAGCCAGGTGCAAGGCAAGTACCGACCCTGCTGTAATACGGCTCCAGTTCCATCCCAGAACTTCTGGGATCTCTCCTTCCCCAAAAACACAAACACCTGCCCCAACCCCAGCAGGTGACAGAAAGAGACACAAGTCTGAACCAAGGATCCTGACCCCAGCTGTGTCCACCCTTCTCAGCACATTGTCCTCTTGAGTCAAACAAAGGAGATGCAGGGGCCAAGGTAGCTGCAGTTCTATCCTCTCCTTAACTGTGTACCTCTTCTTCCAGGGAGACCCCCGAGGACGTGGCGATGAGTGAGCAGCCAGCATCTCAGCAGACAAGGATGGAGCGCTGTCCCCAGGAGGGCAAGGAATGACGCCCACCCGGTCCCTCAGAGAATGACCGCCCTGCGAGGGTGGGTCCCAGGGCCCTAGCGGGGCTGCCGGCCTTCAGCTTCCGGCCACTCACAGCAGAAGGACCCCCAGACTCTCCGTGGATGCTCCTCAGCCCCGTGGCTCCACCATGACGCTGCTCGTGGTCCCCCTCCTGCTGGCCTGGGTGGCCGGTGCCACGGCCGCCGTGCCGGTGGTGCCCTGGCGGGTGCCCTGCCCCCCGCAGTGTGCCTGCCAGATCCGGCCCTGGTACACCCCCCGCTCGTCCTACCGCGAGGCCACCACCGTAGACTGCAACGACCTCTTCCTGACGGCCGTGCCCCCGGCGCTGCCCGCGGGCACGCAGACCCTGCTGCTTCAGAGCAACAGCATCGTGCGCGTGGAGCAGGCCGAGCTCAGCTACCTGCACAACCTCACGGAGCTCGACCTGTCGCAGAACAGCTTCTCGGACGCCCGCGACTGTGACGTCCGCACCCTGCGCCAGCTGCTGAGCCTCCACCTGGAGGAGAACCAGCTCACGCGGCTGGAGGACCACAGCTTCGCGGGGCTGGCCAGCCTGCAGGAGCTCTACCTGAACCACAACCAGCTCTACCGCATCGCCCCCCGCGCCTTCGCTGGGCTCGGCCACCTGCTGCGGCTGCACCTCAACTCCAACCTGCTGCGAGCCGTGGACAGCCGCTGGTTCGAGACGCTGCCCAGCCTGGAGATCCTTATGATCGGTGGCAACAAGGTGGACGCCATCCTGGACATGAACTTCCGGCCGCTGTCCAACCTGCGGAGCCTGGTGCTGGCGGGCATGAGCCTGCGGGAGATCTCCGACTACGCCCTGGAGGGGCTGCAGAGCCTGGAGAGCCTGTCCTTCTACGACAACCAGCTGGTCCGGGTGCCCCGGCGGGCGCTGGCGCAGGTGCCCGGGCTCAAGTTCCTGGACCTGAACAAGAACCCCCTGCAGCGGGTGGGCTCCGGGGACTTCGCCAACATGCTGCATCTCAAGGAGCTGGGGCTGAACAACATGGACGAGCTGGTGTCCATCGACAAGTTGGCCCTGGTCAACCTCCCCGAGCTGACCAAGCTGGACGTGGCCAACAACCCCCGCCTGTCCTTCGTCCACCCCCGCGCCTTCCACCACCTGCCCCAGATGGAGACGCTCATGCTCAACAACAACGCGCTCAGTGCCTTGCACCGGCAGACCCTGGCGTCCCTGCCCAACCTGCAGGAGGTGGGTCTCCACGGCAACCCCATCCGCTGCGACTGCGTCATCCGCTGGGCCAACGCCTCGGGCACCCGCGTCCGCTTCATCGAGCCGCAGTCCACCCTGTGCGCCGAGCCACCCGAGCTGCAGCGGCAGCCTGTGCGCGAGGTGCCCTTCCGGGAGATGACGGACCACTGCCTGCCCCTCATCTCCCCCCGCAGCTTCCCCGCCAGCGTCCAGGTGGCCAGTGGCGAGAGCTTGGTCCTGCACTGCCGGGCGCTGGCCGAGCCCGAGCCCGAGATCTACTGGGTCTCGCCCACCGGGGTGCGCCTGACAGCCGCCCGGACGGGCCGCAGACTCCGGGTCTCCCCGGAGGGGACCCTGGAGCTTCGAAGGGTGACGCCCGGGGAAGCGGGGCTGTACACGTGCGTGGCCCAGAACCTGGTGGGGGCGGACACGAAGACGGTCAGCGTGGCGGTGGGCCGGTCTCCTGTGCAGGCAGGACGCGAGCAGGGCCGGGCGCTGGAGCTGCGGGTGCAGGAGGCTCACGCCCACCACATCCTGCTCTCCTGGGTGTCCCCCCCCAACACCGTCTCCACCAACCTCAGCTGGTCCAGCGCCACCTCCCTCCGTGGCCAGGAGCCCACGGCCTCGGCCCGCCTCCCGCGGGGCACCCACCGCTACAACATCACCCGCCTTGTGCAGGCCACCGAGTACTGGGCCTGCGTGCAAGTGGCCTTCCCTGATGCGCACACCCAGCAGGCGTGTGTGTGGGCCAGGACGACAGAGGCCACCCCTTGCCACAGGCCCTTCGGGGACCGGCCCGGGCCCATAGCCATCCTGGCCCTCGCTGTTCTCCTGCTGGCTGCCGGGCTAGTGGCCCACCTCGGCACCAGCCGCCACAGGCCGGGGGTAGGGGGGCGGCCTCTCCCTCCCGCCTGGGATGTCAGAGGTTGGGGTACGCCCTCGGGTCGGGTGGTGTCTGCACCCCGGGTACTGCCCTGGAATCCAGGGAGGAAGCCGTCCAGGTCCCCAGAAAGGGAGAAACTGCCATCACTGTTGTCACAGCAGTCGGGACACTCGGCCTATTCCCAGCTGTAGAGACGCATTTTCCCTGAAGGGGAGTGAGCTAGGCCTGAGGCCAGGCACTGGGTGACACGGAGCCACGGAGCCACGGAGGCTGCACTTTGGGCCCTACCCTTCTGGGAACCCCTTGGCTGCTGAGTTCTGGGGACAGGTCCATGGACTAGGACTATGGCTTGACAACCCCCCCCCCCCACCCTACCAGCTGTGTGTGTCCCCAGGCCTAGCCACAGGACATGTCCCTCCTTGTCCCTTTCTTTGTACAGTTTCGGTTGCTTACCCTTCCCTCTCCTGGACAGGGACCCGAGGAGGCCTTGCTTCCCACCTTGGGGGTCACTCAGCCCAATCTGAAGGATGCTTGGGGAGAGGGGCCGGGAAGGCCTCGACTTGGGAGTGGGCAGCCACGCGGATGGCCTTTCTACTAGGTGATTTTGTACCTTTGTGGAGAAATGTGTCACCTTCCCCAACCGAATTCACTCTTTTCTCCTGTTTTGTAAAAAATAAAAATAAAGAAGAACAACAATGGGGGGAAGGATGAGAAAGGAAGACAGTCCTTCCAGTCGGGGCAAAGTTAAGAGCTCTGTGCCCAGAGGGCAGCAGGGGGAGGGTTGGGATTGGGAAGGGGTGTTGGGAAGACCCAGATTTTCTCTTCAGGTTGCATTCTGGCCTCCCACCTGCCTCCAGGCCGGTACCCTGAGCTCCTGCGTCTGTGAGCGGGAGGAGCCCAGCCCCACCTTGCAGAGAGGAAGCTTTGGAAGTCCAGGGCGGGCTGAAGGGAAATGGAGAAAAACGCAGAGATGAGGCGTGGAAATTTCCATCAGCCAACCGAGTCACCCCTTTTCCCTCTGATAAGCAATTAACATGCCGGTGCATAGGAAGCACTTTCCGGCCTACTTCTAATTAAACAAACCCAAGAGGCAGAGGCATGCAGAGAATTGCAAATCATCCAGACAGCAAGAACTTTGGCTCACTGGGGCTGGAGGGGGAGCGGGTGATGGAGGGCTTTGGGGAGGGGAGGGCTGTGGGACAGGGAAATTGCTGCATTTATCTTTCCGGTCCATTTCAGTATCATTTGCCATGAGCCAGTTTGCCTTGCGGTTTCAGTATCGAGTCCTCAGGAGCGAACGTGAAGAGGAGCGGAGGGGAGGCTGCGGGGCCCTGAGAAGGGGCTGCGGGCCACAGCTCTGGGTTTCGGTGAAGGCTGGGCCAGGTATGTCCCTGGGTCACCTTCCCCCACCGCATCTCAGGTCAGACCTGAACCTGCAGCCAGGCACGCTTGGCCTGCCGGTGACCGCGGCATCACCCCAAGGCAGGTGGAGGAACACCACTGGCACCTCCTGTCCCCCAACCAGAAGGAACCTGAGCCCCAAGGGATGCCCCCTCCTCCCTCCTCTCTCCTACTCCCCTCCCCTCCCTTTCCCTACCCTCTTCCCCTCCTCTTCCCTTCCCTTCCCTCCCCTCCTCTCCTCTCTCCCTACTTCTGTCCCCTCCCCTCCCTTCCCCTTCCCTCCCCCTCTCCTCTCCTCTCCTCTCCTCTCCTCTCCTCTCCTCTCCTCTCCTCTCCCCTCCCCTCCTCTCCCCTCCCCTCCCCTCCCCTCCCCTCCCCTTCTCTCCTCTCCTCTCCTCTCCTCTCCTCTCCCCTCCCCTCCCCTCCCCTCCCCTCCCTTCCCCTCCTCTCTCCTCCTCTCCTCTCCGCTCCTCTCCTCTCCTCTCTTCTCTTCTCCTCTCCTCTATTCTCTCCTTTCCTCTCCTTCTCTCCCTTCCCTTCCCCTCCCCTCCTTTTCTTTCTTCTCCTCTCGTCTCCTTCCACCTTCTCTGCTCACCTCATTTGCCCTTTCACCCCCTCCCCTCCCCACCCTCCCCTCTCTGTCAGGGGAAGGACTCAGAGAGTTGGGGTGCACACGCAGGAACCCGAGATTTGACCCCTGGTTTCCCGAGCATGAACAGGGGACTCAAAAAGGGAAAGAAACAAACAGAGGGGCCGTGAGCTCACAAACAGTCTCAGCGTGGGCTCACCTCCAAGCACCCTTGGGTGGGGGGGGGTGCCCACATATTGGCAGGCCTCAGAATCGCCCCAGGGTAAATACCCAAGGAAGGGTCCACCCCAGGCACTTTGGTCCACCTCTGGGGGCAGCTGGGAATTCACCTTTTAACCAGGTTTCAGTGGATGCTCTCGCCCAAATCCTGGGCAAAGGCCTGCGGGTCCAGCTCCTGGTTAAGACCCTTCCTTCGATCACTACCGTGAGCTTCTACTAGGGAGAGGATGGGGAAGGGATAGAGAGCCGTCCCTCTGTCCCCCACACATTGGGGACCTGCTCCCTGTTTCAAAACGGGGCTCTCTCCCGGCTGACACGCGTCCCTGAGCAGGGTCTGGGCACGCAGCAACTCACCGGCATTCCCCCCTGCAGCCCCTCACTCTGAGCCCCTCACTGGGCACTTTTCTTGAAGCTGGGGATCCCGTAGGCTGGGCTGTGGCAGCCCCAGTGCTGACCTGCCCACAGGGAGGGCTGACCCCCCATGCTGCTGCGGGCTCTCTGGGGGAGCAGGGGAGGGTCTGGGTGGGCTGTTGCGCCCGAGTTTCAGATCCCCAATCGCGGAGGGACCTCGTCCACACACGATAATGCAAAAGCAAAGGAACTTGATTGCTAGCCAGAGCCAGCGCTAGCTCGAGCTAGGGTCCGAGTCTCATCCAACACAGTGAAGTCTTGACAAGGATCCCCCCAACTCGAACTCACAAGCAGTTTCTGTAGGGTTCAGAGTTAAGGGGCGATTTATAGACTGGTCTATTTTTAGCACCGGCCCTATTACAATGGTGGTCAGCAATTAGGCAGTGGTTAGCAACAGTTTCTAAGGAGGGTTCAGTGGCCCTTCATGACCGGCCAGACTCAACTGCCCAATTCCTTATCTTGGCAAATTACTCAACTGGGAGTTTACCAGAAACTGCAAGTCCTGTTTTTGGGGAAACAGAAACTGAGGCCTAGTTGAGACTTAACGTTAGTTGCAGCTTGTCATGGCTTCGGAGGGGCCTGCTTTGGGGCCTCACAGGGTGAAAGGCCAAGGAGGCATCAGGGCCCCTCTAGGCCTTTCAAGATGGGCCCATCTAGGGTGGAGAATCCAGAGCTACTCCTTTACATCATTCCCCAAATCCTGTGAGAACCAACAGGGTCCTCGATCCCCAGCACCCAGATCTCCCAGGAAGATCCCAGGGGGGCTTGAAGTAACACCCCAAAAGTGAATGCCATGCACCGGAGAGCCTTAGAACTCCAGTTTCAATGTACCTGAAGTTCCTGAGAGTCGGCCACGCAAGACTGTATCTTCGCTGAACCCGCACCCCAGAGCCCCCCGCCCCCCCTGGCTGGGGAGGAGGGGACAGTAACCTCTTCTCCGGAAAGAACCAGGACACAGTGGTGGGGACGAGAGAGGCACCTGGGAAGCCCCGTGTCCTAGAAATCCCCTTGCAAGAGCGAAGCGTGGCCTCCACACACAGCTAAGGTGGCCTCGGGGCACTGGACGTCTGGTTTCCACAGCAACTCACAGGCTAGTTTTAAACAAACAAAGCAGCCATTAAGCCTGGTCTCTTCTGTCCGTTTAAGTCTGTTTTGCTTTCAGCTTAGCTCTAGGTAGGAAGCAAAATCTATTTCAGCTTTAACTTCAAACTGCTGCTTCGGGCCTGTCGTTTCCGTCCATTGAGATGATTTGATGAGCTGAGCTTATTATTAACACCCCCACTGCTGCCCACCCCCGGCAAATCCTCTCCACCTCTGTCCTCACCCATGGCCCAGATACATCCAGGGTGGCTCCAAGCTGCCACACACAGAGAACCTGACTAACCCATAAGGTGTGGCCCCAGCTGTCCTCTTGCCGTCCTGGTCTGCAGGTGTTGGGAGAGAGGGATTGGAGTGAAGGGGCAACTGTGTCACTGTCACAGAGGGGGACAGCTACTCTCAGGAAGGGGGATCCCTGGTGCTTACTGGTCTTCACATTGACACGCTTCCAGAATTTTCTGAGTCCCAGCAGACGGGGAGGACAGGGTTCTGAGTTGGAGGGACTCTCTCCCTTCGTGTAAGATGCTGTTATAGGAAGAGTCCCTGTGATGCCCTGTACATGTTCACTGAGAAGAAAAGCTCTGGACCTTTCATATTTCTCCTGCCCCTGGCCACAGGTCTGCGTGGCTGTCTGTGTATACAGCTTTCTGCTTCAGACTTCACACATGTGGGGCCTCATGCAGCTCTTGTCTATCCTGACTTATACCACTTAGCATGATGCCTTCCAGGTTCATCCATGTGGCTGCAGAATGGCAATATTCTGTTTCTTCTTTTTTTTTTTTAACTTTTTGGGTCATACCCGGCATTGCACAGAGGTTACTCCTGGCTCAAGCACTCAGGAATTATTCCTGGTGGTGCTCAGGGGACCATATGGGATGCTGGGAATCGAACCTGGGTTGGCCGCATGCAAGGCAAATGCCCTACCTGCTGTGCTATCGGTCCAGCCCCTATTCTGTTCCTTTTTTGCGGTTGAGTAATATTTGTAGGTGGATGTGAGTTCAAATTGTGGTTGCTGGGGCTGGAGCAGTAGCACAACGGGTAGGGCGTTTGCCTTGCACGTGGCCGACCCGGATTTGATTCCCAGCATCCCACATGGTCCCCTAAGCACTGCCAGGAGTAATTCCTGAGTGCATGAGCCGGGAGTAATCCCTGTGCATCTCTGGGTGTGACCCCAAAAGCAAAAACAAAAACAAATTATGGATGCTGATGTATGCTTTTGGTGGCCAAGAATAGCCTCCCCAGCCTCCCCAGTGGAAGAACAAAGGGACGAGAGACCACAGACTGATGGTCAAAATGGCCCATTTAATGCAGAGCTATTAGCATACTTATAGAACATCTGAAGGGGGTTGAGGTATAGGACTGCACATCGGTGGGATTGATCATTTATAGCTGTAAAGCGCTCTGCCGGAGGCAATTCTCTGAGGGGAATTAACTCAAGGAGACACTCTGTCTCCCAGAGACATCTACATTGCTTTTCTCTTTCCCTTTTAGCTGTACATACTAAACAATTACGTTTACTTCTTATTAATATTTGCAGTTATTTGGATA